TCGCACTGTTTATCACATTGCCAAATTGAATCGTCCATTTTCTGATTTGAAAGAACTAATATTATTACAGGTAGAAAATGGTTTAGACATGGGACATATTTTACAATCTGATCACGCATGCACTGATATTGTTTATCACATTTCAAATGAAATGCGCACTAAGCTTGTAAAATATATTTTTCATAACGATAATAAAGTAGGGTTTATGATAGAGGAATCTACCACGATGAGCAAAAAGTCTGCTCTGCCAATTTGCTTGAGAGTGAACATTCCAGAAATAAATCTTGTCAATAGTATTTTTTTTGATCTTATCAAATTAACAAATACAGAAGCCTCGTCTATTGCAAACTCTTATATATGTGCTTTACACGATTTTGGTTTTGAAAACAATTTTTTATTACGTAATTGGGTGTCTTTCGCATGTGATGGTGCTTCTAATATGCTTGGCAAAAAGGCAGGCGTAGCCCAGTTACTTTTGAATTCAGTTTTTTTTTTTGTAGCAATCACCGATTAGAGTTAGCAGTAAATGATGTTGTGCGCGATATCTTACTAATTTGTCACATAAAAAGCTTTTTTTGTTAGATTATATTTCATTTACAGTGCATCTCCTAAAAATAAAAAAGAACTGGAAACTGTTGCTATGGCTTTAAGTGTAAAACTAAATTCCATTGGACGAATTCTAGGCACTAGATGGGTGTTGTCTAGCGTTTGATCTGTGATGGCTGTTTGGAATAATTATGCAGCATTGTATCAACACTTTCATGAATCTTCATTGGATTTAAGGCGTAATGGAGGAGATAGAGCCCAATATGCAGGTCTTAAAAATAAATTATGTGATATCAATTTCACACTCAACATGGGACTAATGCTAGATACTTTAATAGAACTAAAACATCTTTCTAAAAAATTACAAGATAGGCAAACTTCTTTACCTTATCACCTTAAAATACCATATATTTCAATCAATGAGAAATAATTCATGTGAATATTATTCGCAAACGCAGCTTGCAGCAGAAAAGTTTGAATTTAAAGGCGTCAAACTACAGATCGGAAAAGTTTCTAAAATTAATCAAAATGAATTTTTTAGTAAACTAAGTGAAAATCTTGATTCTAGAATGTTTACAACTAGAGCTGCGCATAAATCTTTACAAGACAAAAAAAATGATTCAAACAAAGAAAAATACGATAATTTAATCAAAAATTTACAAATTTTTGATAAGCCACAATGGTTTACAGACCAAGATCCATGCTTTGGAGGTAACGATATTAGATAATTAGCAAAAACTTTAAATATTTGTGAAATTATGGCAGTCCAAGAGTTTCGTGAATACATTTCCACTGGTGACTGTAATAAAACCCCTAATGATTTTCAGCCTCTGAGAACTGCTATAAATACCTTGATTGTTTCAGCTGAATGTGAGCGTTCTTTTTCTACTATGAATATAATTTTATCTTCCTTGCGAAACTCTTTATTAATAAAAACTGTATCGAGTTTAATGTTCATTTCGTTAGTAGGTCCACCAATTACGCATTTCGATCCAAAGGATTATGTCATTAAGTGGCTTGGGAAAAGATATCGCGATGCTAATTTTAGGAATTGTGAAGCGCCAGCATTAAAGTCTATAAATGAAAGTGAAACATTTTGGAAGATATTCTGACCGAATTTTTTTTCAATTATTTAAAAATTGGTAAATACAAAAAAAAAAGACTTGTTTAAAAATAAAATGTTTAAATATACCATTGTTTTTTGATTGCTTAAAGACGTTTGTTGTAAAACTCAACTCAATACTTTACGGTGACAGTCTCTTAAAAATATAACGGACCTCAAGTTGTTTTTAATATAGGTTTTTTACTATAGGGATACTCTATGGATTTATAATTCCTTTATTTAATTTACACAAAATATGAAATCTATAATTTTAAGATAGGTGGGATGGTGATTAGAAAATATTAAAAACCATCCCGCTACCTTTTTTTTCCAACTTCGAGCACTGTATATATATATATATATATATATATATATATATATATATATATATATATATATATATATATATATATATATATATATATATATATATATATATATATATATATATATATATATATATATATATATATATATATATATATATATATATATATATATATATATATATATATATATATATGTATATGTATATATATTTAAACCTTTTTTTTTTGATTTGCTTATCTTTATAGCATACAACTTTTTCAGAAAAAGAAGAAAAAAAAAGTATAATGAAAGAAAAGATTGCTACCCCAACCTAAACTCTCAGTTAATGTAGCAGCACTCTTTTACAGCAGCAAAATATAGTTAATGTATGTACTGAATCCCTTATGCAAAGGTTTATTTAACTTTTATGAACTTTTTTACGTCAGTAAAAATACCATATATGATGCTTATGTATGACAGTATTCCATATAATAGGCATCATATATGGTATTTTTAGTACCATCATAAATGGTATTTTTGATACATATATAATGCTAAATAATATTACTGCTTTCATTATAAGTCCAATGGTTAGTAATCTGTACAGCTAAATTAACTGCTAAATACTGATTTTAAAATTATTTACCTTTTCTTTATAGTGTTTATATTTTAAACTATATAATCATAATTTTCTTTATTTTTTTTCTTCATTAATTTGTTTTTCATGTAATATTAACTTTAGAATCAATGGTGTCTATGTTTTTTGTGAACCAATGTTTTTCCTTAAAATACTTTTTTGTTCAAGATTTACAAGTGCTCTTAATAACCAAAAACATTTCACCTCATATATTTATTTTTTATCTTTTCCTCAACATCTGGATATTACTAGAGCTTCTCTATTAATTAACTCTAAAGGTTTACAGGGCTTCCCTATTAATTAACTTCAGAGACATGCAAAAAGGCTTGTAGATGAATCTCTCTTTGACTCTCTCAACCAGATTATCTAGCTGATAGACTCATACTTTTACTTTTGACAAGAGTTCAAAAACTGCTGAATCTGAAAACCATTGTTTCTCATCTCTTAAGACAAAATTTACTTAATTATAAATTAAAACAAAATTTATTTAATTATAAATTTCAAATTTACTTATAAAAAGTTCAAAAATCTGTACTTGAGTTTGGCGGGTTTTGCGAGTTTTACAATAGTGTTGTCAACAACAAATAAAAAGTCACTAAGACCCTTGAAAATATAAATCTGAAAAACAAAATAGTAAATCTGACAAATAGTATGAATAATTATGCATATGCATAATTAATTTAATATGCATAATTTCAAATAATATTGTTGTAGATTTTGATTTTTGTAGTGAATATTTTATATGGACACAACTGTTTTTGATGTTTTCAAAATCATACATAATAGCTTGTACTTAAAAATCCCATGCTTTTTAAAACAAAATATTAAACAATATAAATACATTATACTGTCTAATATTTATTTATAGACAATATAAATATAATTTGCTACACTAAAAAAATATAGTTTACTAAAATGTCAGTCTTTATTTCAAGTACGATAAAGTATATAAAGTTTTTTCTTTTAAAAATGCCTGATTCTTCAAAAAAAAATGATGTTGCATGAGTTGTCTTGTAAAATTTTTAAAATTTTACATTAATACTACTACTTTTTACTAGTTTTTAGTACTTTTTACAACTGAGGATATCAATGCTGTTAACTTTCAATTTCAATCAATGCTGTCATCTTTCAATTACCTTTCTTTCTGATTTTAACAAACTTATGTAACTCCTTCCCAGTGTAAGATTAAGACCTATTGCTTCTAATTTAGCATGCAAAGTAATCACATGTAGAGATGCTAAAATAAAAAAAGAATTTTATTACTTATATAAATAATTATTTTTAATTATAAATATACAAAATAGTTTACTATAATACTTTTATTTATAATAATTTTTGTTAAAGTGATATCTTGAATTATAATTTTAATTAAATTTACTAAAATGGAAAACTAAAACAGCAACTTCTCATCTTAACAAAAAGGAAAACAAAATTAACTTTGTAAGTTTATATTCATGATTTCTATAAGGAAAACATTTTTATTTATCACTCAGACTTTTATCTTAAATATTGGTTGTTGACAATGATTTTTGTTATAAACACCTTTTTATTATTGTATTACAACATAAGTAGCAGCATGTCGATCTTAAAATAAAGCTTTGTCTTGAGAGAAAAGAACTTTTGATTTTTAAATTTAGCAAGTTAGGAACTTGTTTCTTTTCCCCTTCAGCATAGAATATAAATTATGCAAATTTTAAAAACCAGTAAGAAAAGGATAGGAAATTTCATTTATTTGCAATAAATTTCAGAAATTTTCTCACCAAAAGAGAAATTCTTTTGGTGAGTTAAGGTGCAACAATTGGTGATATAGGGTACAACCTTATTTGTAGTTGTATGTAATTCCCAGCCAACCCTCTGCCAATCAGAGTTGTTGAATCAAACAGTGCAAGTTGATCACAGGGAAAAATAAAATAAAATGACATCTAAGAGGATGTCAGTTTTCATTATATATTAAGCTATTGGTTTAAACTAAAAAACTCATTATACCAAACAATTATACTCATTATACCAAACAATTATTAAAACAAATTAAATAAAAGCAAGTTTACTGAAGTTTAAAAAAAATTTTGACATACCTCATCATGTTTCGATTTTTTTGTTGACTTGCTTATTGATCCTTTTTTTCTTTTTCTCCCTCTTGAAGCTGATTGTCTAAAAAACAAATGACTTTGAAGCTGATTGTCTAAAAAACAAATGACTTTGAAGCTGATTGTCTAAAAATCAAGTGACTTTGAGGCTGATTGTCTAAAAATCAAATGAATTTCATTTGAAAATTTTTAAAGCAAAATATCAAAAGTAAAAAAATATATATTTTTTTTCAAAACAGAAAATGTTGAAAAGATCAATAATATAATCAATAAGTTGAAAAAATCAAAATATAAAATGTTGAAAAAATATCAAAAATAATTTCTTTAAATAATGATAACAATATTCATAAAATTATGAAAGTATAAAATATTTTTTTCAAACTAATTTTATTTTAATTTTTAGTCATGTTTTATTGCTTTGTTCTTCAGACCAACAGCATATATAAAAAATGCTAAAAATTTAATTAAGAACTTAAATAAAATTTTTAATGTTGATGCAAGTAAAATTGCTGCATGTATAACACAATTAAACATGATACAAGAAAGATGAATCTATCTATAATGATGAATCTATCTATCATGGTCATAATGGAATAGCAGTACCAAACATAAATAGCATTATAGATGCGTTTAAGAAATCTGATCTTCAATTACTTAGTGCAGTTATTTTTAAGAGGTTCACAATCTCATTTTACCCGTAAAAATTTCAAAAGACCTTACAAGAATGGGTATGTGAAAACATTTCTGAGGGAGGGGACGAAGGTAAAAATCATGATTGCATTGAAACACTCATAATTTGATTAATAGCTGATTTTTTTTTGTATCAGTAAAAACTAACAACTTATGTTTGGTTCATCTTTGATCAAAATAATTTATGTATACATAATTCTATTTTATGTATACATATTAATATATATTTATAATATATATTAAATTTAATACTAATTGAGTTTATTATTGATAGTAAATTATTTATTAATCATGTTTTAAAATAAATTTAATGCAATGGGTGAGCAATCTTATTTTGCCACAACAATTTAATTCTGAGTTTAATATCAGCCAGTGCCCATTTCATAGCAATTTTATGTCGCTAAGATGAGAGTGCTATTTTGTTTCTGCTATGTTAGTCATTGCTGAAAATGCCTTTTTGCATAAATAAGTAGTTGGAAATGTAATAGAATTTTTATTTCTAATTCAGCGAGTAACATATGTACTTGAGAACATTACCGAAGTGCCATTTTCCACAGTTGATTTCCATAAGTTTATTTTTTTAACAAACACATCAAAATAAATATACTTGTGTTCTCACTTTGCAGGGACATATTCAGTTTATTTAGTTTTATGAATATGTCCAACAAATAACAAAATTTAAAACCCAAATTTCATTGTGAAAGAGATTTAAAAAATTGGACTTTGTTTCTGATAAAAACATTATTACCTCATCTTTCAACCTAATAGTTGTTTTAAGGTTTGTCCTTTTAACAACTACCTTACTTTAGTATGTAAAAGCTGATCACAATCTGCTCCCATATCCTAACATAAACTTGCAAACAAAAAACTGTTAAGTGCATGGCATTTAATGAAATTTATAAGTATGGCAGACCACATAAAATCTAGTGATACTTTTATAACTACTAACCCTTCTCCATTAATGATACAATAGTTTAAGTTAAACATGATATGATAAGTAAACAGGCTATCATTTGTAACAAAATTAATTTTAGTTAAAAATTAAATGCTACTTCATTGCTGCCACACAAACAGAAGATACACCAATGCAGTTATTTCAGTCCAATCTTCTTTAAAAAATTCATTTACTTATAAATGTCTTCAAAAGAAAAAACTGTTTAAATTAAGAAGCATTTTTAAAATTAAAATTTACATTTTTTAAAGCTGATCATATCTCTATTATTTTATTGAATGCTTTCTGCAGATCCCTTCTCCATTCATTTTAATAAACTTAATTAACAATTTGAATTGTATGTGCATAATTTTGAGAGGTTAATGCAAGCGATTTCATATCGGTTTGTTTCTCAGACAAGTCTTAATTTACTTATTATTTTTGAAATTTTGTTTAAATGACAAATGAAATATAAAGAGACTTTACTTTAGGCTGACATTTTTTTTCAGACACCCTCTTTAGTAAGTCTGTAAAAAATGAGTCATATGCAAGATGAAGATAAAAGGTGAATTTTGAGTGATGGTGGAGGAGGGGGGGGGATCCGATCCATTACCCATGGCACTGCTAAAACCTGTTTTTTGCGGACTTAAGAAAGGGCTTGCCCCAAAATACCAGTTCATCTAATTCAGGGCCAGTGAATAAGGGATGGTATGTGTGCGGATAGAGGGACACTATACCTTAGACTCCCCTATACCATACATCCTTTTATGTTGGCAAACTAGGACCTTTAGCTGGCAAATTATGGACAATGATAATAGGTACGGTTTAATTTTTTTTTAAGTTTTTAGTTTAAAAACATTTTATTTAAAAACATTTAAAACAAAGTTTAATTGTGATAAATCAGAGAAACGAACTAAAGAATTTTTTTAATTTGTGCGTACGTACTTATCTAAATAACATAATACTATCTAATATAACTTAAAAATAACTATACAAGAATTGGCCACTCTAAGGCCAATTCTTGTATAGTTATTTTATTTAATTAGTAATTCTTGTATAGTTATATCCACTCTTTCTAAAAAAGAATCTAAAAAAGCACAAAAGTATTGCAATTGAGTAGAACCCTGATAAACAATGCCGCTGCGCGGAGAAACAAGTTAAGCGCGGTACTACCAGGGATGTGGTGGGGATCGAACTTGGAACTTCTCGGTTATGAAGCGAGCGCTCTACCACTACACCACTACCGCATAAATGTAAATAACTGATTTATGTTTTCTGATGCAGAATTATGTTTTATGATGCAAAGATTTAAAATTTGTTATAAAATTTTTTTAATATTTTTTTTTTTGAGATTATAAAATACCTTTGTTTTAATATTTGAGATTAATCTCATTTAAGATTGTAATCATTGAGGTGTTTAAATAGTTTATTTAAAAGTAAATTAATTTATTAAATTAATTAAAGATATATTGTCATTTTTTTTGTAGTCGATATCTGTATCTTATCCTTTGTGTTTGTTAATCTTAACTAAGGGGTCATTACATGAAGCAAAAAATTTTGAAAGACAAAACTGCTAAGAAACGTTTTATATACAGAAAAATATTCTATTATTCTCTCTCAATCTTCAATCAAATTTAATTTATTTGAATGTTTAAAACATGTTTTTGAACATTTAATGTTTTGAACATTTTTCATTAAACTAAGACTTTTTTTTTTAGAAAAAAAGAATTTCCACTTGCATCATTAGTTCTTAATAATATTTTTTACTTAGTTAATTTTGTTTGAAAAAGTTAAAAAAAATTATTTTACTAATGAAAAACAAAAGAGATGTTATCAGTGATATTAAAGATTTAACTGTCCATTCACGTGATTCAAAATATGACTATAAGATTTAATAATTTGAATGACATTTGAAATCAGCATTTGAAAATGAAAGAAAATGTAATTGTAAAACTCATTTTAAATTGAGAAGTAGCGTGCTTCAAAATGCAACAACAATGTTTAAAAATTCAGTAGTCGCACTTTGAAATAATAATTCGCATGTCTGCATCTTTTTATTAAATTTGGTAAAACTGCACACTATTTTTAAGTGCTACTTTAAATGCTTTTTAAAGTTTTCTTTTAAATAATTGCAAGGAATAAAATCTTTACAGATCAAAATATAGTTTTATTATCAAACACACTTTTGTTAGTAACAAACTGTCTGGTAGTCCTGCCAGGCTATTGACAAGCATTTTTTTAAAAATTCAGTCACTCTTGGAAAAAAAAGAGTCATCCCATGCCCATGAGAGCGCAATTCTGAAATGTACATTTCGGTTTTTAGGTATCAATGACAGAAATGTCAATGTTTATTCATCATGAGTGATTATTGTCATTTGATTATTATACATTTTATAATTAATTAATAAAATATATAATAAATATTTGATTACTAAACATTTTCTCGAAAAATGAAACTACACATTGAATTGGATTATCTCTTCCTACTAATTGTGCATACGCATGTAATGTTAACACAGTTGATTACTTCTTTGAGAAACTAATAGTTGTTATTAGGAAAATTTATCTACAGAACAAGCCACTTAACATATTCAATAGGTATGAAACAGCATTTTAAAACAACATAGACAAGCAGAAAATTCTCTGCAAAAATGGATTATTAAACTTACATAAAGCAGTTGTTACTTTAATTAAAATCATATTCACAAAGCAGGTACAGTGTCTAACAACTGGTCGAGTTTTATAAAAATGCATTTTTTATAAAGGTTTCTGCTGTTAAAACAACTGGTATAATGGCAATCCAATTTAAACTGTTTTTCTATAGAGTGGATGAAATCCACTTACTAAATCAAACAATTTGAAAAACATTTCATAAAAATTGTTTAATATTTTACGGATATGACTCTTCCATAACAAAAACTGATTTAGACTTGGCTGTTGGAAACAACATTGAGCTACTTTGCTTACCTGTCCATATGATTAGTGTTTTACAATCTTTGAATTTTAAAAGTCAATTAAAAGACAATTAAAACATTTTGAAGGAACTGTTTGAAAAAACCTTAAAATAAAACATGAAAAAACCTTAAAATAAAACAAAAATGTAAATGAAGCAACTTTTTCTAAAATGTTAAAATTGGTTACAGGCAGTGAGGTATCTGGTTGAAGAAATGCTATAGCAGCTTTTAAAACTTGAAGAACTGTCAACAACAGAGTCTCTGACATCAAGTGTAATCATTAGCTCATCATGGAGGTAAAAAAAAAAAAATCTTAAGTAAGCAAGGTAAAATGTTTAAGAGGCATTTACAATGTAAACGTTAGTGTTGGTTCTGAGTGCAACAAATATATAGAAAAAACTTTCGACAGACAGAAGATCAGTGCTTGATATTATGCATTTCATAACATTAAACAAAGTTTAATGATATGATAAAGATATGAAATTTTAATTAAACCCCTAGAATATCCAGTTTTGTAATTGCATTACAGCTTTTGACAACATATTGAAAAAAAACTTTATATAATAACAATAAATTTAACAACTAAATATTAATCACAATCAGCTAAATTAATAACAGTCAAAATATTCATGCAATAAAACAAAGTTATAAACACATAACTATTGAAATTCAACTCACAAACTTTTATAACATTGAAGTAATCTTTCATCAAGTATGTTTGCAGCTGGTTCCCATGTGTTATACCTAAAATTTGGTCAAATAAAGCATATATATATATATATATATATATATATATATATATATATATATATATATATATATATATATATATATATATATATATATATATATATATATATATATATATATATATTTAAAACCAATGATCTCCTACTTAACTATTTAAATTCTGCTTGACCTTCTTTATAGACGAACCCTAACACCATCATGTAATTGTGTCCTCAAATGAAACATTTTAGGAATAAAAGAATAAAAAAGGTTTGAAAATAGTTAACGCAAGCTCATAAATTTCATATTTCACATTTATTGCTGATTCATTTTTATATTTAATATTAGTTTCTGTAAACACAAATTGCATAGCAAAATAAAATTACAATTACAAAATCTTAGCAAAAACAACAACTAATGTTGTTTAATTACAAAAATTATTAATCATGAGCGATTCCATGCTATTGAGGCATTGAAGAATAACAATATTTTTTCATTCATAGTCATAAAATTTTATTACAACTATGGCTCATTCAAACATTTAAATTTGTTTTTACGTTTTAAATTCAAACTGGCAGTGATTCTAGTTTAGTTGATTTTTAAATTTCTAGTATCAGTTTGTTGTAATAAAAAAAAAACATTCTTGTTATCAAACGTATTTAATTTAGGTTTTAATATACTTAATATACATTTAAAAAAAAGATAGTTGAATACATTTAATGCACAGGTAGAAAAAAAAATCCAAATTTTTTCTTTTTAAAAGAAAGTCTTGATGAAGAATCTAGATTTTTGCCGAAATGCCATTGCCAAAAAGTCGTACTACCCTGGGATTATAAATGAGAAACATCATTTTCATTAAGTTTAAAAATAAATATCGAACAAGTGTTACTAAAAATTAAATATAGTTTAATTTTAACAAATGAAAATCCAATTTTTCAAATATTTTTCAATATACCTTATTAAAAATCATTACTCTTATAAGGTTGTTTTAATTACATAGTGTTATTTAAAGTACTGATTTCTATCAGCATTTATAAGGTTGTTTTAATTACATAGTGTTATTTAAAGTACTGATTTCTATCAGCATTTATAAGGTTGTTTTAATTACATAGTGTTATTTAAAGTACTGATTTCTATCAGCATTTAAGTTCAAAGTAGATTTTCAAGATTATTTACAATTTATAAAATATAAAGATAATTTTAACATAAAAGCTAAAATATTTTTTGAAAATTATTAGAAACAAAGAGAGGAATTTTAATTATTGTAAAGAAAATTGTTTTTAATATTTTTTTAAAAATTTATTTAGAATTAAATACTTATCAATACACATATAAAATATTTTAATAAAATATTATAATAATATTTTAATAGTAATAACTTATTTTTAATTTAAAATTTAAATTAAATTTCAAATGTTTGATTTGAAATTTTTTTTTTTAATTTCGAAAAAAAACACAATTAAAATAACAGTGATGATTGTAAAGAAAATTGTGTTCAGATTTTCAACCCAAAAAAATTTAAATGTTTGAATAACTAACTGCAGTTTAAAAATTTACTTTTAAAACTTCTTTCATAGCAAAATATTTAAGAGAACAAAAATAGTATAAATAAATTAAAATAGTTCGAAAAGTTAGAATATTAGAAAAACAAGATTTTCAAATTAAAATTTTCAAATATTTTTTTAAGTGTTTAAACCAATTTTTAAAATGCAACTAAATATATAGATAACATAATTTTTGATAACCAATCATTGACATTGTGTAAAAGTGTTGTTTCAAAGAAATATTTCAAACATAATGCATCGCAAGATGTAATAAAATAAACAGTTGGTTGAAAATAAATTTATGAAAGTAAGCTAATGCTTTTTTTAATACTGTAGCAAGTAAAAACCACTTATTCTTGTCTTGATAAGAAGCCAACACTCTGTGATTGCTAGGAGGGGGCATTTCTGCCTTAAAAGGATCTCACTTCTATTCTTTACCTCTATAAATCTCAAATCCGCCTTTATTTGGAATACTGCTGCCATATTTGGAGCAAATCTTTGAATGAGGCTCTTTCTCTTTTAGGCAAGGTGCAAAAATGTATTGTAAAGATAGCTGGACCTGATCTTGCAGCCAACCTTCAGATCATTTTTTTTTTCTTTCTATAAATAGGGAAAGGCGTTTGTCACATCATTATTTTTTCTTTTTATAAATAGGGAAAGGCGGAGTGAGCTTGCCAGTTTTTACTTTAACAAAATGAATTTGAATATAAAAAAGTAAAATTTTCTAATTTAAAAACATTTTTTTTATAATTTACTTTGTTAATGTATTGAATCAAAACAAATTTTCAAGTTACATTTGTATATAACTTGATTTTTTTATCATCAAGTCATAAGGGGCAAATTCATCAATTACAGGGTGATTTTGTCGGTACAACTAAAATAATTATATAATACGCCACTTTTGGTGATAGACGAATGTCCTTACTAGTGGTAAAGGCAGGTTACTTAAGATAAAAAAAAACTTTGAAAAAGATTTTTGAGGTATCAGCTGGATGATTTCGTTAATATATATAGTAATAGTAAACCTCTAAGTGATATAGATAGAACTACTGATAGCCTACAGATAGCTAGTAAGTGACTGAGCTGATCTGACTGGGGCTGAGTTTGATGAAATATAGTCGGGGCCAGGTTTGTGACCAGGGCTGCATAAACAATTACACATCCTAAAGTATATTTTTTTATTCAAAATTCATATTATATTTTGTATATATATGCATATATAAACATCATTATGATTCAATCTGTCTAAGAGTATAATTCAAGATTATGACTCAATCTGTCTAAGCCTCCTTTTCCAGTCTATAATTCAAGATTATAATTCTAAGATTATAATTCAATCTGTCTAAGCTTCCTTTTCTTGTCTTGTTAGAGTCACACTGCACATCCATCTGATCATCTTCTCTTTCCGCAAATACTACACCATATAAATATGAATCAATTGTTCAAGAACTTTCTGAAATAAAAAAAAAAGCCTAACTCAACATCAAGCCAGAATGATATAACAAATGTTGTTGTCAAAGACAAACTCGGTGAGTTGGAAGACAGAAGCAGAAGAAATAATCTAAGGTTTACAGGAATTGAGGAAGCCGAAAACGAAACGTGGGAATTAAGCAAAGAAAAGATTCAAAATGTTTTAAAGTCAAAACTCGGTTTTAAAAGTAATGTTGAAATTGAACGTGCGCACAGGACGGGGAAAAAAAATAGCGATGGAAAAAAAGTACAGCAGAACCATAATAGTAAAATTTTTAAAATACAAAGACAAAAAAACTGCGTCGGATAACTATGTTCAGTTAAAACTGTGGAACGATCGGCTTTACGTAAACGAAGACTACAGTGAAAGAACTTTGGAATTGTAAAAACAGTTATTTAAAGAAGCAAAAGATTTGAGAGCCAAAGGTATATATGCTAAAGTTGTGTATAATAAACTTGTAACGCGCGACAATTAAGAAATTCTTTTATATTAGAGTTATTACTTTATCTTAAATTTTATTGTTTTTAAATACTAAAATGGATTCAAATCACTTAAAGAATTTTGATATTTTTCAATTCAATGATTTTATACATAACAAAGAGTCCGATCCGGATCAAAGTTTTTTTAGCGAAACAGGTGCTTTACAAAGCAACTGCAGTTGTTCCTATAGCTATGAAATAAAAGAATTTCTTGAGCATGATAAATTTAATGCAGTTCATATAAATATAAGAAATTTAAAAGAAAAATTTTGAAAATCTTTGCAATAGTCTTGAGGAAAATTTAACTCTTTTTAGTGTAATATGCATAACTGAAACTTGGTGTAGTTCTAATGACTCAAGTTTAGATAATAACTTTAAAATACCGGGCTATAATTTAATTTCATTAGGGCGGAAAACAAATAAATGTGGCGGTGGTTTAATTATTTAAGTAAAAGAAAACCTTCAGTATTATATTAGGCATGACATGAGTATTTCTGATGTCAATAAAGAGGTTTTAACAATTGAAATATTGAACAATAAAACTAAAAACATTGTGATTAGCTATTGTTATCGCCCACCTACAGGCGAAATTAAAACTTTTAGTACATTTTTACAAGATGATGTTATAAATAAAAGCAACCATGAAAAGAAATTATTTTACATATTAGGTGATCTGAATTTAAATTGCTTTGAGTATCATGTCAAAAAAGACATTAATGGGTTTTATAATGGCCTATTTGAAAATGGAGCAGTTCCTCTCATAAACAAACTAACTAGAATTACTCAAACAACAACTTCCTTAATTGATAACATTATAACCAATGATATTTTTAATAATTCGCTTAAAAAAGGCATTATTAAAAGTGATATATCTGATCACTTCCCTATATTTTTTTCAATTGATATTTATGCGAAAATTATATGTTATGAAAAAAAATCATTTAAAAAACAAATTTTTGATAATAAAAACCTAGAATCTTTTAAATATCAACTATCGTTAATTAATTGGGACATTACAAACTTTTCTGAAGACATGAATTTAATATACAAATCCTTTTTTTAAATTGTTTATAAAATTTATGACATCAATTTTCCCAAAGTAGAAGTAAATTACAAATATAAAAAAATTGTATCGCCATGGATACTAAAGGTATTCTAAAATTTTCAAAAATTAAGCAAAAACTTTATATTAAATATTTAAAATCAAAAACAACTGAGAGTAAGACTATTTATAAAAATTACATAAGATTATTTGAACGCCTAAGAAAAAATTCAAAAAATATATATTTCACTAATTTACTTGAAAAATACAAATTAAACTCAAAACGCACTTGGCAACTAATAAACGAAATTACTGGTAACACTAAAAAAATGTCACAATCTTTGGTTGATCGCAGTTGGTCCTGATGATGTCAACGGAAATATTATTATAAGCTGTTTTGACGTTTCAAAAGACATACTTTTCCAAATTTTTAAATGCTCTATTAATCAGGGAGTTTTTCCTGATGATTTAAAAGTAGC